TGTGCATATGCTTCAGCTGTGAAGTCATATAATTTCACTTTGAAGATAGCTAAGGAGCCCTAGTGGCACTGTGAGTTAAGTGTTGGGCTGCCAACCACAAAGCTGGTCATTCAAACCTAGCAGCCCCTGAACAGGAGAAAGACAAGGCAATCTAGAAAAAGAGGTACAGCCTTGGAAATGCTAAGGAACCTCCATCCTGTCCTTTAGGATCCCTAAATTGCATTGGGATTTGACTTGATGGCAGCGTGGTTTAGTTTTTGCCTTTGGTTGGTGCTTAGAGAGCAGTCTGGTTGACACAAGGGTGAAGGACTGTGTTGCTGACTGGCAGTTAGAACCCATGAGTGACCCCGTAAGCGAAAAGACCTGGTGATCTCTTCTGTTCAAGGTTAAATTCAGTCTAGAGCAGTAGTGCTGCACCATTCCATCAGAGACTTGATGGGTCTGACAAGAGACTCAGAACATTTAAGAAAGGCAATGGTTTGAAATGTTTTGCTGGCCATATTAAATTTGTAGGAAGGGAATTTCCCCATTGCTAATGCTCTGGTGTGTTCCTTCTCTCAAGGAGGTGTTTTAATACAGAAGGACTTTTTTTCTCTCTCCTTGTTGTTTTAGGACATTGATGTTAAGGTCCACCTAGAGTATTCAGAATGTTTCTTAAATGATTGACCAAAGTGAACCTTTATGCTCTGTGAGGTGTTCACTTGGAGTTAGCAAACATTGCACAAATGAAAAGCAAGCAGTAAATTATTTCCAAAGATTGGAAACAGAAATCCTCAGATGATTCACGGATGATTCAGATTTCTGTGTATCGCTTCTACTCTACTTGTCGCCAAGGGAACTTGGGCCTCCTTCCTACCCCACCACGGCTAGAAAAAGCACCCACGAAAGCCACAGGAGAGTGATTTCTCGACTTTTTAAAATAAAAAATGGCTAACAGACTAAATGTCAGTCATACAGGAAGATTTCGTGCTAATCTGTGTAAGCTCTATCGTCTAGTAATGTGATATACTGTTACGTTATACTTCTTTCAACGGTTTTTATCTTCCTTCCTGCAGAAGATTTTATACAAAGACCTTCAGATGAAAATGGCATCCTTGGCTGTCAAATCCAGAGAGCCCGAGCAAAGCCGTGTTCTTCTTGCAGTGACGGCTCTCGCCTACCAAACCGTGTGCCTCAGAGCCAGAGAAAGAAGGCGTGATCACGCGTCCAACCTGCCTGCCTCCCGCGGCCATCTTGGCAAGGGAGGGTAGGACACAGGGAGAAGGTTATGGGTTGACTGCCGTGGTTCCTTCACAGATTTATGCTTACCGCAACCGTCCATGGAGTTCTTCAATAATCATCTTAGCAACATTAGCAAGCAGCATTAAACAGCAATGCGGTGAAGTGTCCGCATGATAAAACCAAGGAAGGGTGAGTACTTTCCATTACTTACATGAGGACAATTCCCAAGGTGCTGATACTAGTATCCTGTTCACACAGGCACAAGTTCATTCCAAATGGAACAGCTTAAGCACGTCTCTATGGTCAGTGGATGCCTGCCGACAACTTCTCTCAGGAATGCATTTGCCTTTTCTTCTTAGAGTGTCTGTGTAAAAAAAGTCCAGTCAAAAGAGTGGGTTCCAAAAGGTTCTTCTGGGTGAGCTTAATTCAAGGCAAAGAGATCAGCCTTTAATGGCGACTGATTTCTGAGCTCCCAAGAGGTCCTCTTGATAAAATTTCTGGAAGGACATTGGATCATCATGAAGGCTTATTACTAAAAAGTTTTAATAAGATAGAAAATTGCACCCATGATAAAAAGATCCGAAAACTTTTGCCAAATTTGCACCAGGAATATTTTTTACATCACAGCAATGTGCCTGCTCATTCTTCAAAGGTAAGAAAAGCTGTGCTGGAAGAAGTTTATTGAAAAACATTATCCAATCCACCCAACAGTCCTGACCTCGCTACATTAGACTTCTTTTCCACTAACGGGGCACCACTTGAGTTCCTTGAGCCTGCCGAACCTGCCTTGCTGACATGGTGCAGATGGAAGAGCACAGAATGGTTCCAGGAAGACTTAAAGAGCGGACACTCCATCTTCAGAAGTGAGTGGATCTGGATGAAAGGTATGTTGGGAAACAGCTGCTTCTCATGTTGACATTTTTGTTTAATAAAGGTTTCTATTATTTTTTTGTAGCGATGTGACCTAATTTTTTTCTTCCCAGCGTGTGCTTTGAATTTATTTCTCATCTGGAAACAAAGACTAAAGGCTGCCTTTATAGGGAGTAGTTAGGAAAATCTATACAAACACCAGTTGGAACACAAGCAAGCATGTGCTCTCCTGACAGGGGTACAAACTCCTAACCAACAAGAAGGCTGCATAGGGCAAGAGTTGGAAAGCATCCCAGGAGTAAGTTTTCCACTTGACTGATGCTCACTAGAAAAGTTCCCAAAGTTTCCTCTTTTGAAATGAACATATTTGTTATTTACACCAATTTATAGCATGAGAGATACTGCCAGTGAGTCTTAGCAAAATTTCTTGTAACAGGTATATGATGCCTAAGATTGTTTAACAAGTTACACTTAAACTTATATAACAGTAGGGACCTTCTGTCCTTTGAAAGGGGAGTAGGATGGAATATGATGTAATAAATTCAAAATACTAAATGGCTTTTAAATATGACTCAAACCGTTATTTTTTTCTCAAATACAAATTTGATCAGATGATCTCTTTCCATCTTAAACTTGACCTTGCTTTTTTGTTGTTAGGTCTAAGGTTCTGGTCATTGTGACCCTATGTACAACTGAAGAAAACACCACCTGCTCCTGCGGCAGCCTCCCAATTGTTCCCATGGTTGAACTCCTTTATGCAGCCATTGTCTCCATCAAGATCTGCAAGGGTCTTCCTCTCTTTTGCTATCCCTCTATTTAGCAAGCATGATGTACTATTCCAGGAATTGGTTTCACCGGATAACATGTCTAAAGTATTTGAGATAGCCTTGCCATTCTTATTTCTAAGGAGCATTCGGATTGTAGTGATTTCCTCCAAGACAGATCTATTTTGATTTGTTTTGCTTTGGGCAATCCGCGGTACTTGCAATGTGCTTCTTCAGCACCATCATTCAAATGCTTCTGTTCTTAGTCTGTCTTCCTTAGCCTGTGTTCAACTTTCACTGTATATGAGGCGATTTAAAATACCATGGCTTTCATCAAGAAGACCTTAGTCCTCAAATTGACATACTTGCTTTTCAACACTTTAAAAAGATTCTGGGCAACAGATTTACCTAATGCAACTCATCTTTCGGTCTCTTGACTGCTGCTTCCATCAGCATTGATTGTGGATCCTAGCAAGATAAAATCCTTGACAATGTCAACCATTTCTCCATTTATTGTGATGTTACCTTTTGGGCCAGTTGTGATGATTTTGGTTTTCTTTAAATTGAGTTGCAATTCATATTGAAGGCTGTAATCCTTGATGTTCACCAGCAAGTACTTTAAGTCATCCTCACTTTCCGTAAGCCGAGTTGTGTTATCTACATGTGGAAGGTCGTTAATAAGCTTTCCTCTAAATCTGAAGCTGTGTTCATCTTCCTCTAGCCAGCTTCTCAAATGATTTCCTCAACATAGAGATTGAATGAGAATGGTGAAAGGATACCACCTGACCGACACCTTTCCTAATGTTAAGTCATAAAGTAGTCCCTTGATCTATTTTAATTACTTCCTCTTGATCCATGTACAGATTCTGCATGAGCACAATTAAATGTTCTGGAGTTCCCGTTCTTTTCAATGTATCAAGGTATTTATGATCCACATAATAAAAGGCCTTTGCACAGTCAATAAAACACACATAAACATTTTTCTAATTTCCCTGCATTGGGACAAGATTCATGGGATGTCTTATTCCACAGCCTCTTCTGAATCCAGCTTGAATTTCTGGCAGCGCCATGCCAATGGATTACTGCAACCATTGTTAGATGATCTTCAGCAACATTTTACTTGCATGTGATATTAATCCTATTGTTCTATAATTTTCATGCTCTATGGGGTCACCTTTCTTGGAATGGGAACAAATATGGATCTCCTCCGGTCAGTTGGCCAGGCAGCTCTCTTCCAGATGTCTTGGCGTAGACTAGTGAGTGCTTCTAGTGCTTCATCGGAATATTGAAAAGTTTTCATTGGTATTCCATCAATTCCTGGAGGCTGGTTTTTCATGAACGCCTTCGGTGCAGCTTGGACTTCTTCCTTCAGTACAATTGGTTCTTCACCATATGCTGTCTTTTGAAATGGTTGAATATCCACTCTTCTTTTTCATATTGTGACTCTGTGTGTTCCTTCCATCTTTATTTGATGCTTCCTACTTCAAACCACTCTTCCTTTATCTTTCATTCTAACTTTCAAATTCCACTCACCAATATTATCATTGCATCTTGGTTGTGTTTTGATTAATTTCAGACTGAAGATGTTGGTACAATTCTTTGATGTCTTCTTCACTAGCTTTAGTGATTGGTTTATAAATTTAAATAATAGTTGTATTGATTTGGTTTCCTGGTATGTAGATAGATATTATCCTACAACAGACAGCATTGTGCTTCAAGATCAATATTGAAATGTCACTTTTGAGGATGAAAGTGACACCATTCCTTTTGAATTTGTCCTTCCTAGTACAGCAAACCATATGATTGCCTGATTCAAAATGGCCAATACCAGCCCATTTCAGCTCACTAAGGTCTAGGATATTGATCTTTATGAGTTCCATTTATGACCACTCCAAAATTTCCTAGATTCACCCTTTGCACATTCTAAGTTCCAAATCGTAAGAGATGTTTTCAGCTGTTTTTTTCTTATTTTGAATCATGACCCATTACAGATAAAGTCCCAAAAGCTTTACTCCATTCACATCACAACCTGACGTTTCTTAGGTGATATGATTTCTTACGTGAGATAAGATTTCTTAGTCTTTTTTATGGGATGCAAAAGACTTCTTGGCCTCACTGCATGTCTGTTCTTTATGTTCTAGCAATGTAGGGCTACTTGTACCTTCAAAACACATATTACTGCTCCATTCCTCCTGGTATTCCTCTACTTGGATCACTTTTGGAAAACATTCTTATGCATTGTTAGTCATGAACTCACAAGATCACTTAGAACAGCAGTTCTCAACCTGTGGTTCACGATCCCTTTGGGGGTCGAATGACCCTTTCACTGGGGTTGCCTGATTCATAATAGTAACTAAATGACAGTTATGAAGTAGCAACGTAAATAATTTTATGGTTGGGGGTCACCACCACATGAGGACCTGTCTGAAAGTGTCGCCACATTAGGAAGGTTGAGAACCACTGACTTAGAAGGAAAGGTACAAGAGCAACCGAAGAATAAAGCAGGCAGAATAGTATTTGAACAGCTTGACAATGAAACCATCATGGAACTAAAGTCCATAAAGTTAGATCAGAATCCATCTGTGTCACCTAAGCAGGACAACTGCCTGTGAAAAAAGAAGACAGAAATAGGATTCCAAAAACAATAACCAAAATATATGTGTACAATAGAAAATTACTCATCATCCCCCCAAATTAGGAGAGCCATAATCTGAGTGAGAAAAGATAATCATATGAAACCAGTAATGAGATAAATTAGATGTTGGACAATCTGATAAAGATATTTTTAATCATTTTATTGGGGCTCATACAACTCTTATCACAATCCATACATCAATTGAATAATACATGTTTGTACATATGTTGCCCTCATTCTCTTCTAGACATTTACTTTCTATTGAACCCTTGGTACCAGCTCCTTTTTTTTTTCTCCCTCTTCTCCCCCAACCCTCATAACTCGCCAATAGATTGTACATTGTTATTATTTTCATCTCTCACACCGACCGCTATCTCTCTTCCCCCATGTTTTTTGTTGTTCTTCCCCCTCTAAAGGGGTGTATGGTTATGTGTCGATCATTGTGATCGGTTCCCCCTTTCTCCCTTCCTCTCTCCCTCTTCCCCCTACTCTTCTGGCATCACCATTCCACTCATGGATTCTGTGTGTTGTGAGCTCCCATCCCTTTCTATGCCTGTGTACATATTGTGGTCTAGTCTGAACTGGGAAGCAGCACTGGGGTCAAGGCAGTGGGGGGTGAGGAAGCCTCAAGGAACCAGAGGAATATAGTATATTTCATTGATGCTTTACTGGACCCTGGTGACTCATCCCCTCCCTGTGGGCCCCCTGTGGGGAGATTGCTCCATTATCTACAGATGGGCTTTGGATCTCTGCTCAAGCCCCCATTGTTCTCAACAATATGTTTTTGTTTGTTATGTGTCTGCTGATGCCAATTACCTGGTGCCTATGACTCTTTATGATCGCACCGGCAGTGTGTTTCCTCCATGTGGGCTTGTTGCTTCATTGCTGAATGGCAGCTTGTGTAACTTCAAGACTTTAAGACCCCAGATGCTATATCTTTTAATAGCCAGGCACCATCTGCCCTCTTCACCACATTTGCTTATGCACCTGTTTTGTTTTCAGCAATTGTGTTGGAAGGGTGAACATCTCAGACTTCCGACTGGTTAGAACAAAGTGTTCTTGTATTGAGGGAGGGCATGAGCAGAGGCCCAAAGCCTATCCCCTACCTCAGTGTATTGCCGTATAAATATATGTACATGGACCAATATCCCTATTTTTGTGGATTAATGTATTTCCATATGTACACCACTATGTTTATACCTCTATCCATTTCTTTGCTTCCTTGGTCCTTCCTCTATTTCTTTTTACCTTCCTGCTGCCCCACTGCTACTTTCCCCTTATTTCTGCCTCTTGGTACCTCCTCTGAGCTAGTCTGCTGTTGCTTTGACACACCCTCCCCCCACCTAGGATCCCTATCTCATCTTTGTTATTGACTCCAACACTCCAGTATGATAAAGATTTTAAAGCAGTCATAATGAAAATCTTTCTAGAATCAATTGCAAATCTTAAAAGAAATTAAAATAGGCAAACTCAACAAAGAACTATATGTTCCCAAAATGATCTGGACTAGTTGAGTAGCACTACTTTGAAGTTAACTTCCCTGTCTTTGGTTTATATGCCAGCTTATCATCATGACTAGATGAAGTACTGATTGTTCTGGATGGGAATAGCTCTTGGTACAGACAAGGCCTCTTGAGTTTTCTGAGCCATAATCAGTATTTCAGTCCTCTCCCTATTATTTTACTTTGCCCTAGCAGATTAAACTCCTTGGGAAAATGCTATGGTTTGCCTTGACCCTGTCCATGAATTTAGTTTTCTCAGAATAAAAAATTGCATTTATTCATGTTCTGTCCTAGAATTATACAACACAACCTGACTTGTAGGTTAACTTTCTATAAAATACTTCTGGTTTGACTATCCTTAAATTTGTTCCACAATTCAAAATAAATGGTTTTGAATGAAACAGGAATAGCAGCCAGTAATCAAGATTGCCTTTAGAGTTTTAAAATATCACCTAAAATTGGATCCTTCCTAAACCCCAAATTTGATTTGTACTAGGTGAAGTGGATATTTTTCTTAGAACATACTTAAATTCACATTCATTCTGTAGCAGGCAGTTGAAAGTGCCAGGCAGACACAAAGAATATTAGCAAGATCATGTAGGAATGACAAAGGCATCTTGCCCAGAAAGCACCTTGGGAAATGGAATTTTTAGCCATTTCAACTTACTTGCATCAGCCCGAAACAAAATGAGGCAATGACGTTGATAAAAGAGTTTTTATGTGAATTACATGAGATAGCACATGAGTTAATAGTGTTGGTCACATTGATGGAGCCAGTGATGAAAGTGCTCTTAGTACTTAGGAGGAGAGAAACATAACCTCCTGGGAAACAACGAGCGTGTAGAGCCCAAGGCACGGTTTAAGGATCAAACACAGAGCACCATAATTTTGACATGCCAGAAGAGTGGAGAGAGCACCGATTCTAGAAGGGCAAAGGAACCCTGGGAGGGATACAGCCTGGGATGTCTGGTAAGTTGACGTTAAATGGAGTAGTGGGAAAGGCGTCTCAAACAATGGTTTGTTTTAAATATTTCTGTTATTAGAAACTGTTTTCTATGATGCAAAGACGAAGAAGGATGGCCTTATCTAAAAGTCCAAAACAACTGAGCGACCAACAGAGGAGATCGTTATTGAAATAGGGATTGGTTAAAAAATGGTTTTTGATTCACAACTTCGATTATGGAAAGCTGAAATGCTTATCTGTAGATAGATTTAAACTATTTCATGCCATTTCAAGTAAACCTCACTTAAAAAGATACTTCTATTGCTGTTTTCAATTTGTTTTCAAATAATGTATCATGAGATAAGCTTCAAATTCAGCGCACCAAAGATCAGGCTTGTTCAACTTATCCAAAGGAAAGATCACACTGGATTTTCCTGTGGAGGTTTGATATTGTCAAATGCAATTGAATCTCAGTCACTCACCGCTTTGCAATTATCAAAAATAATTCTTTGTTCTCAAAATCTGAGGAAATAAACATTGACTACTATAAAGATTATTTTATATCATTAAAGGACTAGATAGTTTTAAAAATATTTTAAAGTCTGTCATAGTTATATAAGTATATATATGGTTTCAATGTAATATTTAGACAAGACATAAACAAGTATCCAATATTTCAAATGAATAAGAAAAGCATTTGTTTTATTTTGCATACGATATTTTTGGGCAAATTTTTTTTCTTTGAAAGAGTATACTCTTAAAATGACCAGAGAGAGGGTCTTTGAATTCATACTCCTAATTGGGTTCTTTGAACCTTTCAGTCAGACCTTACATTAAATTTACACTGTTTGGTTAAGTTCAGTGTGAGGTCATTTCTTATTAGTTCTTTCTCCAAAAAGGAATATTCTTTGATAAACAATTTTGTCTCTTATCTTGTTCTATGAGTGTACGTGTTTACTAGAAAAGATAAAAGCCCCTGAGAGTTTCATGTGGAAATGACTTTTTTAAAGAGTGCAAGTTGCGCTCCACCTATTACATCACTTACCATCAGTAAAACGTGGCAGAGCAGTTGCCTGTGGTGGTTGAACTTTGCCTTCCCCTTGCCTCCCTGATGTTTTTGTGATCTTCATTTTCCTAGCATGCAATCCACTGAGAGCTAAAAAGGCAAATGCTACTTTACTTAGTGGATTTAGGAAACTTGCATTTAGTATATTTTCAGAATAACTTCTGAGGATTTTCATTCTGAAATATTAAGAGCAATGTTTTTGAAGGTTAGCATTCCAAATCTTATGAATTTAAATTTTTTCATCAGTAAATATTTTACATAGGTCTTGCTTATGGTGAATGTTAATTAAACACAGCTTAATGATTGAATGAATTGTGCAGTACTAAATAAATGCAGAATTGTAAAGTTCTTAAAATAATTTCAATCATATACAGATAATTTTATACACAAATGATTCTAAACAAAACTTATATTCATCTTGGATAATAAAGACTCTGTTTAGTGGAAGTGAGTGAGCTTCCTGATCTTGTAGAACTGAGTTCAAATCTTGGCTCTGACATCGACCACATCTTTTGTTTTTTTTTAAAGAATAGAAAGCAGCTGTCTATGATGCAGCCATTGGTCTCTCCTAGCACAAAACAAAGAAGTGTGAAGAAAATCTGCAATTTGAGGGAACAATTTGTTCCAAGGACTAATGAACCACGTGCACCCCCATTGTTGACATCAGGTAGATCTAGATTAAGAGCAACAAACATCAAAAAGATGTTAATTTTTGTTTTACTGACCATGTAAGGGTTGTGTGGATCATAAAAGCCCATGGATAATATTGATAACAATAGGAATTCTAGAACACATCACTGTACTCTTATGGAACCTACCCATAGACCTAGATGCAGTCATTTGACCAGATCAAAAGGATATTGCAGTACTTAAAATCAAGAAAAGGGTGTGTCCAGGTTGTACCTTTTCTGTATGCAGAGAAAAGCATCCAAGACACTGGATTACATGATGAAGAATTTGGTATCAGAATTGTATGAAGGATGACACATCCTTACTTGAAATTGAAGATGATTTAAAATATGAAGATTAAATAAAACTGTCAAGTGTGGGTTGTGATCTAATGTAAAGAAAACAAAAATCCTCATGACTGGACAAATAGAAATTGCCATGGTAAGTGAAGAAGAGATCGAAATGGTCAACAATTTCATTCTACTTGGGTCTTTAATCAATGATCATGGACGCTTCAGCTGAGAAACCAAATGAAGCATTGCACTGGGCAAATCTGCTGCACAAGATCTCTTTAAAGTATTAAAGTATAAGGATGTCACTTAGAGGAATAAGGGGCACCTGACCCAAGCCATGATATTGTCAACTGCCTCATTTCCATGTGAAATCTGGCTAATGCATAAGGAAGACCACAGCAGATTTGAATAACTGTGCTAGTGGGAAATACTGAAAGTACCTTGGATGGCCAGAGAACAAACAGATCTATCTTGGAGGGACTACAGCCAGAATTCTCCTTCAATGAGAGAACAGTGAGACTAAACAGCCCATAGTTTTGACACAAACAGGGTTTCTTTGAAGTAGTCCTTGGTTTGGACATACCGGAGTCTGAAGAAGCAAGCTCAGAGCTGTCTGGTCTATGGGGTAAGCCTTCTCAATGAAACCCCCATCAGAGCCCTTGTCACTCTTGTAGAATGAGCAGGAGCCTTGTTGTGATAGAAAAATTATCCCTAGCTTCTTTCACACTAATGTGGCTTTCTATTTTCTGAAAACATCTTCATTAAAAGCCCCCATGATCACCCTCTGCCCTCAGGAAAATCTATCAAGATTATACCTTTGAATCTCAAAGCAGTCACCTCTGAACTGAACTGGTCCAGCAGCTCCCCTTGACAGCTACTATTTTGAGTAGATGTTTTTCCTTTTTCTTCAAGGATGCTATGAACTCTTCTCTTAGCATTAGTGATAAAACGCATTACATTCCTTCCTACTTTAACCTCTCTCTGTGGCCACTCATTGTAGCTAATGGAATATTTTAATTAGTTATTTGATATTAGCCAAAGAAATCACCTGCAGACATCAGTCAAAATAAAAAAGACATTGATCTCAGAAGATTGTGTTTCTTTTCTCGGGGTGGGTACCCCTCTTTTCTAGATGCTGTATTTGTAGTGCCAAACTCAAAGCATTTGAGGTGTGGACAAAGAAAAAGTAGGCTTCCGGTTGACCTACTAACAAACATGAAACCTTAAAAACAAGTTCTGGGTTTCTGCTGTCAAATGAATATTAAACTAATCTAATCTAAGACTTGTTTTTTTAGTTAAGGTTAGTAAGCCTCTAAAAATGCAAATTACATAATTGACTCCAGGGTTTTTCCTGTTCTTTTTCTTCATTTTATTAATCTTCCGAGAAATATAATATGGTCTTTGAGAACATTGAATTTCAGTAGATATATTGAAAACAAAACTCTCCCTAAGCATTTAACACAATTGTGATGAAAAATTATGGAAAGGATTTTGAGACATTAAGGTCCCTCTTGTTTTGCCTTTTTGAACCAAGAAAACAGTCAATGCTGAAACTTTGGCTTTCATTTCTGTATAGTGTTTTTAAATCTTGAAAGTATTTAAAGGCTCAACTCTGAAAAAAATCCTGAATATAAAAGAAATAGTATAATAAAATACCTCATATATACAGATCAAGGTCTAAAGTCCTAATCAGTTTACTTAGGCAGTTAGTTCCCTTTTGAAAAATGTACTTTTCTCTTTCTTTTACTCTTCTAGATCTGAAAAGGCCAAATGTGGAGATTATCATGAAATATCTGACCAAATCTGGAAATATAAATAAAAATAAGGTTAATGATCTGAATATTTGTTAAGAAACCTTAAGAACTAAGATTTTCACGTTTCTCATATTTCTTGACTAGTAATTTAATTACCCTTTTAACTAACTTAATTATTATCGTCAATGCATATCAAGTAGCTGATAAACATGTTGCCAAGGTGACCAAACCCTCTAGTTCACACACATCACAAACACTGGAGTTTCAGACACGTTAAACTTTCTATGCTCTGGAAGAGCAATCATTATAATGAATGAAATCTGTTTGTGTAAACAGTTGTGATTTCTTTGTCAACAAGAAATTTTGTCAAGTGTCAGGATTAAAAAATGAGTCTATTAGAATTGCCTTTTTGCCATTCCTTATTATTATTATGAAGAAATATTCATGAAGCAGCAGTTAAGAACTCTACACTCTGAGATCCATATAGTGATGGCAAGGTACTACAATCACTGTCTATTTCCATGAAAACTTCAGGATAAGTGAGTTTAACACAGGTTTTTGTCTATTTTAGAATTTATTCATGAGAAGAAATTTTGAAAAAGATGATGACAGCATATTACAGAAGTGTTTGACAGAGTGGATATATGTACAGATTTTGATAAGAGCTGTCAGAGTTCCCAATAAAATTAATATAAAAAAGAAATTTTCCTTCAGCATGTCCACACAAATCTTCAGCTATCAGAAGCAGAGTAAATATGTTCCGATCTTTGAAATAAGTAAAAATGGCAAAGTTGTTTGAGCTAGAGGGTTCCCTTTCCATTTACACTATCAATGGGAGAAACAGTTGTCTGAGGAGTGATGTAACTGAATAGTGGAGCTTCCGTTCCATCGGATGACCATAAGCTGGAGGATAGAGATGCCGAATGTTATGAGGGAAGAGAGGAAGAGTGCTAGAGACAGAGGACCGCGCGTGATACTCTGACAATTCTATCCATTCCTACATTTTTACTGTTGGTCTACCCGAGAGATTAGTTTCATGGTTTACTGGGGAAATAGTGCCTATATCTTTGCCAATATTTTTAAAATGGATTGTACCTCTATTTAAAGAACAATTCCTCTTGAAAATTTCAGAATAACTAAGCTTATAATGGGTGGAAAATGTCTACTTTCAGAGCAAGGATTTTCTTTTTAAACTGGAGTTCTTGAATGGGCTTCAGGATACTAGATTTAAAAACTATTCAGACCATGGAGAAGTTTGTCAGTTTTAGCCTGCAGTGTAGCATTTAATATAATAATGTATAAGTATTCTAAAAATCTTTAAAATAATTGAATAAAAATAAAACACTATATGTGAAGCTCATGGTTTCCTTGTTAAACTTTTAACCTATTTAAAAAATCATTTCTATTTTTCCATTTTATGTTAATGATTAAGTAACTCCTTACAGTTACTGTTTCATAAACTATGTCTAGTTTTCAGATAAGAAAGTGATGACAATTGATTAAAAAGCCTTCTCCTTGATCGAGGCTTTATAAAGGGATAATAATTTAATCCTAAAGCAACAACTGCTCATGTATTTGACAATTATAACTTGAAGGTTTTCTTAGTTTTAGAGTAAGGTTAATTTACATAGCTATGCTAAAGGCCGGGTCCCTGGCAGCAGTTTCTGTAGAGAAAGGAGTAGTGGTAAGTGAGGAAGCAAAGAGTATGTGCATGACACGCTTGATGGGCATGTAATCTAAGCAGGTGCTCGGGATCACACGTTTAAAAGGAACCAGTCCTTAGTTTAATTCTTGGCTTGAAATTCTTGAAATCATTGCTCTGACATTCTGAATAGTTTTTGAACATATAAAAATGAATGAACATTGTCCTTTCTCAATGGCCTACATATGATGCAGCTCATCCTGCTTGTGTGGCTTGGCCCAGACTTGTCTGTGGAGTTGGCTGTAACTATGTTCAACTTGGTCCTTGCTCAGTTATTGCTACCCTCAGTTTCCTTCCTGCAGATAAGGGCTGGGGTTGGGCTGCTCCAGTTACCTCACAGCACACATGCCATGAGCAAATCTGTATTAGGGTTGGGGAATGTAGAGGGAGGAGTGGGAGAAAGACCCACAAGAGGCAGGAAAAGACCATCTAAACAGGAAATCATTAGTGTGACAGGAGTTTCATCCACATTCCCATCTTTCTATAGAAATTCTCCTGTAAATTTGCAGTTCTCAACCTTCTATTCTCTGAGATCTCTGTGTTAGAAGGGGAACATTTCTCTGTTGATAAAAATAACTTCGGGACTCCCTTGTACATGAAAACAGACAAACAGTACAAAGAACAAAGCGATAGGATTGAATTTGGAAGTGCAAATATTTTTATTTTAACGTTGTTTGTTAATAGTAGATGTTGATAAGGCAACATATAAATCTTTGCTTCTGCCGAAAGTAGTATGCTTTTTAGGCTACAATATTGCAGCTTGCCGGGGCTGCTACACAAGGCATGCAGTGGATACATAGCCTGCTTACGGGAACTCAGAGCCACCCAAGACTCTAGTCTAGCTAGGAAAGTCCTTAACCTCTCAGCTGATCTCAGCTGGTGATGAAGTAGCCTGAGTTTTTCAGCAGGTTAAGTGCTCATGATAAGAGAGGTAGGTTGTTTTTTTTAAATCTTTCTTACAAAGTAATCACAAAAAGTAGAAATAATAGTAAGAAGGTCTACGTTGATGAATGATCATATTGTGAGCACTGTGCTTAATTTCAGTCAATGCTTACAACAATCTGAGAAATGCTGAGAGAATCATCCTCTGCTTATAAAGGAGAAAAATGAGCCTACATGAAGTGAGTGGCACAAGGCTGTGTCTCTGAGGTAGTTAATTTATTGTGCCAACCTGGCTGATAAACACATGGGGGGGGGGGGTTAGTTGAAGGGTGGAGGGATAAATGGCTTGGTGAGCCTCGCCTTTCTAGTTCTCCGGTCTCTTGCTTTGTGATGGTTGCACCAGGGTGCAGCTGCCTTAGCCAGTTCCCTGCTTCAGCTGGCAAGGCTCACTTCCTACAAGACATCCCTGAGGAGAAGCCACATGGACCTTCCCCGAAGGAGCCCTGGGTGCTGGAGCAGCCGTGTGGAGACCCCTGCCAGCACTGAGATGCTTATACATTCACTGATTCGGCTTTCTTCCTGCTGTGGGCATAATAGTGTGTGTTTTGTGAGATGGAGGAGGACTTTGTGGATTGGTGTCGGACATATGGGTTAATGTTGGACTTGTAGGTTTGGGCAGCACTGGGTTGGGATATTTTCTTGATGTCCACTTAACCTTTATATAAAATGCTCTCTTATACATGAGTTTCTGTGGATTTGTTTCTCCAAAGTACCCAGACTATCACAGTCTCTGTGGGTCAGAATCTATTGGCTGGCAGTGGGTTTAAATGTACCTGGTAAATGATGGGGCATGAACTAAAATCCAGGCCAGGTGAGTCTGACAGTCTTTGCTCTGAGGCACTGCCCTGCCCTTCTTCACTTGATATCTTCTGTCATTAAGCACAGGATGGTCCCAGATGGCTCATAGCTGTCTGCTGAGTGAATGCAACAGACGAACAAAAAATTATCCCTTGAAAGTGATCCTACTTTTAATGTTTTTACTATTCCTAAAAACCAGCAAAAGAATTTTTTTCTTGTGTACATGATTTTGTATTTTAAAATAGGATGGTCAGTAGACAGGGAGATTACAGAGGCTTGTATGTTATGGGCCCACAGTGTTGGCTGCCAGCAAAGAGGGAAGTACTGAGCAAACAGGCAGCCAGCAGATGATTGTTTCTTACTCACCTTACAAGCTTCCAACACACGGTTCTCATCTGCTCATGTATACATGTAATTCAAAATAGAAAATTTAAAAACTTAGCCCCATATGTAACCTTCCATTTTTCGGTTTTATTCAGTGATTGTTTCACTCTTTGCATCTTATTTAATAAATAACTGAACATTCCAGTATAAAAAGGTCCACAATGTTTTCTTTAGCCATAATAAACATATTATAATCCCAGGATATTAAAATTTTAAAAAGCAAACCCTAACCATAGTTCTATTGCAGCTTGAGACTCTCCAGTACAGGATTCTCTTTTGAAGATTTTAATCTATCCAGACACCATGAAGGAGAGCAAATTGAAAGGAAATTCCCCAGGAGGAAATTCTAATTTCAGAATTGTGCTGTAATTACATGGTGCACATGGCTGATGAGCAGAAAGCCAGCATAAGTTACTTACTCTGCGAGTTACCCCCCCCCCCCCGTTTTATGAGCAAACA